GAGCTGGGATCCGGCCCGGGGCTGGGGTGCTGCCTTCCTTGGGGGCTTTTTGGGCAGGTGATACCACAAAACAGCCCCCATGGGCACCTGTGTAAAAAGTCAGTTCGAGAGGTGAGGAATCCTGGGAATGTAGATTTTAATTTAATTTTATTTTTTTTAAATTCCAACCTTTCTGTATTTCCCGTGTCCCTTCATTCAGGGCAGGGAACAGGGACTGCTCCTTTTTTGTGCCAGTTGTTTTTTTCTTTCCTCCCTCAGCACTTTATTTTTACAGCAACAGAGAAACCTCAGCTCAGGTTGGGGAGCGTGGAGCTGCCTCCTCACCCCAGCCCTGCAGGGATGGAGGGCATAGCCCGAGGTGCGGAGCATTCCGAGGCCTCCCAGCTCTCCCACGGTGGGATTCCTGGACATGGGCATTGGCTCCTGCTGTGATCTGGCTCTGTGTCCAGCAGCCTTGAGGGCTGGGCAGGGCCTGGAGCCGGGCACCGGGCATGGCACCTCCCTGGGAGGATTTGCTGAACCCCGACCCACACTTTGAGTAGTGGCACTTTTTTTCCCCATCTAGCGTACGTTCCTAGTGCATGGCTTTGGGAAAGATTAGGAACCAACGTGTGTGGAGAGCAAATGGGCTCTGCCGTAACGAGGGTCTGAGACAGACACCGTTGGCTGGGAGCCTCTCCCTGCGTGGGACGGGATATCCCCGAGGGTCCCCACGTGCTGCCCGCACGCTGCAAAAATACATCGCCTTGTTTACAGTGCCTGAGCTGGCCCTGGCGCACTCCGGCTGCCTCTGCAGGCTCTTGCTGAATGTCAAATCACACACAAAAACCCTGTAATATTTTTATATTTTGTTTTTAATCCTTTCTCTCCTTGTCCTGCTCCCTCCCTGGTGCCATTCTCTGCCTTCGCCCCAGCTCTGCATCCCCTGGTACAAGGCAGCTCTCTGGCACTGCTCCTGTTGCTTCTTGCATCGTGGCTGGTGCATGCCTGGGGGAGATGGTCCCCACCATGCTGCTGCTTTTGCCTTCCTCTCCTTGAGCCCAGGCTTCCTCCTTGGAGAATTTCCTTGCATTTCTGCTGGATTCATTTAAATTTTTTTTAAGACAAGAGAGCAAACACATCCTCCATGGGATGTCTTTTCCTAGTGGTGTGAAAGCCACCTCTCTGCAACGCTCTGTCTGGGCCCCCCCCCCCTCCTGCTCACGCAGCATCTCCCAAATGCCGGCAGCATGGTGGCTTCCTTTGGAGAGCATTATCCCCATGTCTCCTGGGGGTTGCCAAAGGCTGCTGGTGGTGGTAGGAAAGGAGTGTGAATATAGTGCTGGTGGGCGGCGTTCCCACCTTTGACAGATTGTGAATGAGGCTTGGGGTTAATTTTGGTGTTTGACCTGCTTCTGGGAGGAGAAGGCTGTGCAGGGCAGTGTCCCTGCAGCCTCCCTCCTGGATGTGTGGTGTTCCGGTGTCTTGCACTGTGTCCCCTGTGCTGGCTCTGCTTTGGGTGCTCCATGCTGGTACATGGACCCACGGCCAGGTGCAGGGCGGGTCTGTGCCGTGTCGCTGCTGCTTTCCAGCCCCTTGCCTGCTCGCTGCATCTCTTGGGGTTCACCTTGTCTCCTCCAAGTCTGTGCTGAGGAAGGTTTCGGTGTGTTCTGGCATTACTTGGTTATGGGCAGAGCAAAGCTTTAAGTCAAATCCTCCATCTGGAGGACACTGAGGGGTTAGAGAGGAAACACTTGGGTCTGCGAGGGGGAGCCCGTCGGGAGGGGGCTCCAGGGCACACTGCGGGTGGGAAAAGTGCAATATTCATGTCCATTGCTGTGTGCTGACCTGGTGTGGCCCTTGGGGATGGGGTTTGAGTGCAGAAATGTCCCCCTTGGCAGAAGAGGGCATGCTGTGAGGGGCAGGGGACATCTGATGCCCCCAGCTCTGTCAATACCCTGTGAGAAGGCTGGCCGTGTTTTGGGGAACAGCTGTGTGCCAGGGCATGTCCCCAGCCTGGCACTGGGCATCAGTGGTTTTTTGACAGCACTCCTAGCATCCAAAATCACTTTGCAATCAGTGATGAAGACCTTATTTCTGAGTAGTCTGGGATATCACAGCAGCATTAAACATTTTTTGCAGTTTTTCACATTTATCAGGGTGAGCAGGGGCTGTTCAGAGATGGGTCTGGCTGTGCCTGTGGGGCACATGTCATGAAGGGCTCTACCGAGCCAGGAGGACCTGACACAGAACCTGAGGGACACGAAAACTTGACACTTGTGTATCGTAGGCTGCTCTGTAACCACAGAAATTGTGTAAATATAGAAGTGATTAATGTACGTGTCTTGTGCCTATGGATATTGTCAGCGTACAGCATGTGTAGCTGCCCAGTGGAAGAGCTGATGCTGCACCTGAATTATGTATCTTACTTTAATCAATAAATACGATCTATTTTTTATGTGAAAAGGCTCTGGGGTTTGAGGTGGGTTTTTTCTTCCACGTGGCAGATGTAGAACTGCCTGGCATGGCCTGGGCCAGGTGTGGAGCAGGTCTGGGTGTCTCCAAGGAGGCTCCGCTGGGCTGGGCTGGATGGGGCAGTGGTGTGACATTAATGCCATTGGCCATACTTCAACTTTGGGGACTTACCTCCCCCCCCCCACCTCTTCTTTTGTTTTGTTTTTGCAGATACCACCCAAGTAGAAGGGCTTGGGGATGGGGGGGGCAGACCCTGTGCTTTTCTCAGCCCCATAGGAGCACACGAGACTCCTCCCTCTGCTGAGGATATAAAATAAAGTGTTTCTGCTTTGAAAATTATACTTTTTCTTCTGAATGCATTTGTGCAAGTAGGTTGTGGGCAGAGCCTGGCTGGGCTTGGCCCCTCTCTCTGCCCCACCAAAGCTGCACCTTGGCTTCTTGGCCGTGTCCTGGGAGCTGGCAGCCTGCTTTATGCCAAAAGCAGGACTGCAGCTAAAAAAAGAGCCAGGCGTGTGCCGATGGCGACAGCACGGTGGATGCCGAGCTGCTGCTGATCTGCTTGAGAGATCAAAGAAGCAAAATCCAGCCCACGCTTGGAGACAGCTGGGCGCTGTGCCAGCGTGGCTGCACCTCATCTTATGCTCATGCTGCTGAATAATGAATACCATTGCAGTGTGTTGTGGTGTTAGTGAGGCTATTTGGGAAATTAGTGCTAAAAAAAGTTAATCACTTGAAGCTGTGGGAGAAAAGTCTCCTTAAAGTACATGAATGGGCAATGTGGTCTGTGGATGGGGATCCGTGGCCACCTGCTCCCCAGGGCAGGAGGAGCAGCTGAGCACAGGCAATTCCTGGTGGTCGGGGTATTTCTGACTGTGGAGAGTCACCACAGCTGGATTCACGGCCATCCTTTCTTCCAAGGGTTGGGTGCTGCAGGGCTGGACCCTTTCCATGAAATGGCTTTGCTAAGGTGTCCCCTTCCCAGGTGTCACTCAGCACACTACTCTTCACAATGTCCCATCACCACGCAGGGGGATGAGCCTGCTGTGGAGACCTGTCTGCATTTAGAGTTTTACTAAAAATAGAATTATAGAATGGTTTGGGTTGAAAGGGACCTCAAAGATCATCTAGTACCAGCCCCCCTGCCATGGGCAGGGACACCTTCCACTACACCAGGTTGCTCAAAGTCTCATCCAGCCTGGCCTTGAACACCTCCAGGGATGGGGCATCCACAGCTTCTCTGGGCAACCTGTTCCAGTGCCTCACCACCCTCGTTGTAACAGATTTCTTCCTTAGATCTAATCAAAATCTCCCTTCTTTCAGCCACAGGGAACTGCAAAGCTCACAATCCCATCCTGGCAGAGGAAGGCCGAGCTGGGGACCTGCACAAGTGCAGCCAAGTACTCCTGCCCCCGGCTTTAATTTGTTATTAACTGCAGCTGTGGTGGGGTAAGAGGGCTGGGGTGGGAGGTCTGGCCGTGCCAGGTGATGCTTGTCTTGCAGTTGGTGGTTCAGGCAGGAGGGAGGTTGTTCTGCTATTCTCTTCTCAGCCCCTCTGCATGATGACCCCTCTACTCCTCAGGCCAGCAGGTAGGATGCTGTGGTATCCCTGGGGTGTTTGGGGGAGTGGAGGTGAGTCCCTGGCTTGGGACACGGAGCTGGTGGCAGGATTTGCAGCCCAAGCTGCTGGGGCAGTGGAAATGTTGTGTGGTCAGGCTGGGGTTTCGGAGCAGCGGGCTATTGCTGTACTGATGGGTTTCCCCTTCTTATGCTGCTTGTGCTGCCCCTGCCCAGAGGCAGCCCCGTTCCTGGGCCTGGCAGAGACATGGCTGTGCTCCGTCTGCAAAGTGCTTTGGGGTTGTAGGGTCATTGAGGCTGGTAGGGACCTTGGGAGGTCTCTCCTACAACTTTCTTCAGCCTAATCGGCTCCTGGAATTACAAAAAAAGCTCTTTTTACTCTCCCATCTTCCCCAGGATCTCTCCTGTGTTTCTGTATACACCTTACTGATGACTGAGCTTAGAAATGCTGTGCCCAAATTCTTGTGCAGAGGTGGTGCTCTTTTAGGGTGAAGGTGTTGAGAGGGATTTACGAAGTAAAACCAAACAGCTGAAATATCAGTCCTAAAACAGGCAGGGACTGGAGGGTGTGTTTCCTGGCAAACCTGGGGGTAGCTCAGCGCCTGGGCCAGGGGCTGTGGGGCTGGTTTCCATTTGTATCTGGGCTGTTCAGTGAGACTGTCCCTGTGTGTGCCAAACTCAATCCCCCTTCCCTAGTTTTGGTCCCAGGAGGGGATATGACTAGCAGGTCTTTTCACATCTGCTGGTCACCTGAGCCAAGCGTCTCTATTCTGGCACCCTAAGCCTCCCCATGTTTGCGTCCTTTCTTGTGTGCCCTCAGCCACTTCAGCACTAAGGCACCCAGCAGTCGAGGGGAAGCCAAAAAGTCAAGGCTTGGGTCAGTAAGCGCTGGGGGGCTGGTTTCTGGGAGGGGGTTGGTGGGAACTGCAATGCTGATGATGTTGGGGACATTGGACTGTGGGATTGTGGTGGATATTTAAGACTTTGGGTGGAAAAAAAAGAGCTTTGAGAGGTAAAACAAGCAGCACTTTGAGGGCTGTGGGGCTGGAGGAGTGGAAAGTGGCCCTGATGCCCAGGGGATGCTCCGGCAGAGGAGTGGGCTGTGAGTAGGGTTTGCTGGGGCTGGCTGCTGTGTCCCACAGAGCCTGTGCTGGACATTTTGGGGACCTCTCTGCAGATATGCTTGAGTCAGGTGTGTTTTCCAGGTTAACTGGGTGATGGTCATCTGCTTAAGGGCTGTGGCTTTACTTCCAGAAATGAGATGAATTTCTGTTTTCCCAAGTGTATTTGGTTGGGGGTGGGAATCAAGGCAGGGCTGGGATTTGAGTCCTTTCAACCCCTTTGCTTCTGAGCAAACAGATCTGGGAGTCTCGTGCCTTACTGAAGCGAGGCAGGATACTCTGGATCTGCCTCCGTTCTCTGTCCCTTATGGAATCCTCAAGGATGTGTTGAACTTGCTGTCTTGGTGTCTCTATGAAGACTTAAGCGGCTGAGGGTGCTGGTGTCCAAAATAAGCTGTTATTCTCTGGGCTGGACTTGGCCAGAGCTAGGCAGGGATGTCCTACTTACAAGGGAATCCCTGAATTATTGAATAAAATCATAATAGTAAAAAAATCCAAACTCTTTTAATACTTTCCAAAAATCAACAACAAAAAAGTTACGTCGATCAACCAACCAAAGAAAACCTCTCACGAAGAAATGATACATTTCCAAGCACAAGGACACACCGGCAAACCCACGCTCATCTCCTCGGGTAGGAGATGCCCCCGCAGCACTGGCCAGTCTTTCTGGGATACGCCACAGAGTCCTGGCT